CCCTAACAGCCGCCCATCTATTAATCAATCAGATTAGTCAATCAGCTGAGTGTTTCTAGAGCTCCTCATCGCAGTTAAAAATCCACCTGATCAATAAGTTCTCCTTGGCTTTTACACAATCAACATCATTATCCTTTAAAATTTGTAGGATCCCAAGTTTCCAGAGCTTACCCCTCACCGTATTCAACCAGAACTTGAGGGGGATGATCATGCCATCTAAAACCATGAAACAATTAAAAACTACAGCTTCCTTATTTAAATAATTGGATTCTTTAAATAAAAAATGTTTTAATGTAATTTTTTACAATTTACTATAGACAGTATACCTTTAACACTGTGCTAAAATAATACCTAGCATCTCGATGATTTCAATACAACCAGCTAATTTCACATATCTGAACCTTGACCTATCAGCTATCGTAACGAGTTACAATACAATATACAATTTATTCATCATTTTGCTAGAAGCTAAAAATTAGATTTTGGCAGTAAACAACGGAACAGAATTGATAGAGTATAATCTCAAGTTTCATCCTTTTTACAACTATTTCCTAATAGATCCTAAATATGGTTTGCAAAAAAAAAAAAAAAAAAAACAATTAGTGAATAAATTAAAAACATCAATAAAATTGATTTCATTAAAGGGATTAGTCTTAAATTTGAATAGATGATAAATAATTTGTAACAGATATTTTTTAACAAATTAATAAAAAATAAATTAATAAAAATAAATAAATTATACCCCATGATTTTTAAGAAATTTACTTTATTTTTTTAAATTCAATATTTCACACAATATTTTATTTTATTTAAAGAAACCTGTTTCAATGTACCTATTAATAAAATATAAATTATTAATAGAGCAATACAATTTTTTTAAGTAGGTATAAAAATCATAAATGACTGAATTCTCATTTGGATTAAATTCCTGTCCTACATAAACTGGGAGGTCAAATAAAAAGTAACCTACTGGTATTCATTATGCATTATTTGTAGCTTGCTTGATAATTCTCCAGATAATTCTCTCCCAATTAATTTTAAAATGTTATAATGATTAGTTCTGAATTTGGCTTCTTCTGTTTGCTTAGTTCTGGCATTATAAATTTAGTTTTCAATTAATATATAATTAAACAATTTTCTCATGCATTTGTGTATTATAATGCCTCATATATTATAGGCCATTATGTAGACCATTTTTACATTTAACAATGAAGATTTGCGCTGGCTACTTAAATTTAAATAAAAAACAACAAGGTAATAAATAAACTAATAAATAATTTTCTTAAGATCAAATTATTTTATCATACTATTTATTCTGCAGTTTCTCAAAATAAGTATAGTAAATTGTTTCCTGTCCTGAAGATATGAAACCTGGTATCATTACCAAATGCATTAGTACTGGCACATTAGAGACAGTAGTTGAGTATGTTAGAATGCAAAGAAGTAGATCATGCATGGACTGACAAAAACCGAGAAGTTGTACAGAGTATTGATATCATGGTATGGCTGAGATATGGGCTTTGGCACGCATGTTCCCAGATTTAAAAACCTGCTAATGCCAATTGGGTATGATACTCTACTCTACTCTAAATTATCTCATCCCTTTGATGTAACGTTAATCCATTAATGCTTTGTATACAATAATTTTCTGCATAAAAAAAGCAATATATAGGCCTACACTACTTGGAAAAACAGGCCCGTAACCAGGAGGTTTCGGTGGTTTGGCTGAATGCCCTTTTTAAACACTTCACTACTGAAGTGGTATTTTATCATAACCTTTCTTTATCAAAGAAACACTTCTGAGTTAAATTTGGAATTAGGAAACCCCCTTCACATGAACCTGGTTATGGGCATGAAAAGAATGGTGATTGCGTTATGATGCAACGTTCTGGTTTATTTCTGGTTGTTCGTGCTTATACTTCAGACAGTGAGTGATATAATGCTATAAGCATTCCATTACCCAAGTGCTGGATATCTTTGCCAATCCAGATCTGCTTTCAGTTTTATCATCTCAGCTTTCTATAAACAATTACCTTGTGCAGGTATGAAGCACGCAATGATTATGGTGTTCATTAAAGAAATAAACAAATCAATACACTCTTGATTTCTGACAAAAACAAAATAATTATTGGGGTATCCCTTTAGCATTCTCAATATCCACATATGTCATTGTGGGTTATCAATCAATTTATATAGCATTTAAATATTTTGAACCACCATCTGTTATATTTTCTATACAGATTGAATAAAATAGATAATGATGTAGAAATATCCCAATAATTCAAACATGAGATATATTAGACGTGTCTCCCACTGCCTTAACCTCTACCAACAGGGATATCACCAGAGGCAGAAACACGAATAGGGCCTAATGTCAATGTTACCCAGCATTATCAGCATCACGTTAATGCACACACGTGGCATTGTCGTTCATGTTGCATGCTCACAACGCCAACATTCTAGCTCGTCAAATACCATAACATTAAACTTCTCTAGACATAAATCTCTTAGATAAATGTATGTAGCTTTTGTTACATTCTCCTAAAGGAAAAATGTGAGAAGCTAAGGGATAAAATGTGCTAACATCGGCAGCATGATAAATGATTCTGTTAAATCAGCTCATAATTTAAAGCTTTTTAAAAGCAATTTGAAATGCTATTAGACAAAGTTGTTATAAAAGCAGTAGACTGTATTCAATTAAGTAATTTCATAAAAAAAAATTTCATTTGTAAACTGTACTTAGGGAATCAAAGATACTTGGCATTTCAATTTATTCAATTTACCTCCAAATGGAGAGCATAAAAACATAAAACCAAAGCATTTATAAATTGGATTATATAGCAAATATTCTATCTACCATCTACATGAACATTTTTCAAAAAATAATAAACACAATAGTTGGGGTTGTAGCTTTATAAGTTAGAATGCTTGTCCTCTAGTCAATTATCTCTGGATTCTAATCCTTCCGAAAAGCAGGATTCTTTTTCTGCAACGTATACTTAATTATGTAAGTTATTAGCCCAACATTGAGCATAATAATAGGCAGAAGATATAATCTGAATTTATTATTTCAATCTGAAACTAAATATTACATCCTGCATTATTACTGGTTGCCTTTACTATACATCAGCCAATTAATTCTATCTGTAATTATTTAGTTATATAGTAAGAAGTTTGACTAAAATGCTTCAGGGAGTTAACAGAATTAAAAAACAAAAACTATTGCTTGAAATTCTTAATAGCATCACAAAAATTGCATTCTGCCATGGATATTAGTGCTTTCCATCCCTGTTGATTGATTGATCATCATATGGTATCTGAATAATACTTTAACCATGAATGAAAATTAGTTTGTCATGCTCTAAATATTAGAGTGTTAGCATAATGATCTTAGGAGATGGGGAAAAAAAATTCTCTTAAGCTAATTGGCAGAATTATTAGAATTAGGAAAAAAAACAAAAAAAAAAACAAAGGGATAGTTGAAAATTCTTCTTTATGATAGACCAAGAACCAATGATAATCTTGCTTTACTCTTACACTGGAAATCCCCATACTTTAATGAAGAGATATCTAGAATCAGCATCAATGCTGGTTAACAGAACTCCTCCATAAAACATAACATTCAAAACATATCCTAAAGTACAAAACTTGAAAAATGACACATTTTTTAAATATATTAAATAATAATAATAATAATTGCTTGATTGGATCAACTGAACATACTTGCATGATCTACTGCATTTATAAGCAAGACTGGGCACAAACTTATTCTTGAAGGTTTGTAATATTAAATTATGATGGCTCAAAATAATAAATACAAGGCCTACTATTGTTAGAGTCTGTAAAGTACCTGTCAACAGTAGGCAGGGGATTGGATTGAACACCAAGGATAGCCCACAAAAGTCTAGAAGAAGCCTTATTTCCAGTGGGGTCCTTCTGGTGGTGATTGGGCAGTACATCGTGAGGCAATCCCCTACTCTTTTTAGAAGAATGTACTGCGTTCTTTAACATGCACATAGGCTATCAATGCACACAGGACCAATGGCTTAAACATCTCATCCGAAAGATGGTGCGCTTATATTTCAGCCCTCCAGCTATTGAACCGGGGACCTAGAGATCTCCACGGTTCAGCGGGCCATCAGGGACGACTGGCTCGAGTTGTGGTAAAATTAATTTAAAATATTTTCAAGCCAAAGACTGCCTGAGAGTGCCATTTTCAGATATCTAGAGGTGACATAACCTAACTTTTTTTGCCTCAGACCTAACAATAATTGGGCTGATGTGGGTGTGGCCTATCTCTCGGGAAATAATAGACCTCCTGTCAGGGAAATGCTGGTGCCACCAATGATCACTGGATACAGCATTCATGTTCCGCCATGTGTAACCCTCTCAGCTCCCAGGGAATACTTCAGTGCAGCAACCTCAACTGCTGATCCATACAGTTTAAAATTTGAACCACAACCTAACTTAAAAGCCCAACCACTCTTTCACTGAAGTTTGTTCAGTAATTTTGTGACTTATGCCAGTGGACTCCATATGTTTACATTACGCATCATGCCAAACAAGGTTTTGTTTTCATATATTTTAAAGGCAAATATAATTGACTTTCACTGTTCCTATTTTTTTTAATTTTTTTATTAGCATTTTTAAAATTTATGATTTTTTAATGACATATTAAGTTACACAAAAAATACTATGATCTCCCTTTAATTAAAGAACTATAAAATTAAAGAATACCTTCAATGAAAGACCACCTTTCTGTAGTCCCAAATGTATACCTAGGCTTAGCTTTTATCTTCATAATAATTGTTCTAATCAAAGACAAAAACTGCTAAAAAAAACCTGAAAACCCAGATGTCAAAAGTGGTCTTTAATTAGAGGGAACTACACTCAGCCTACCTAACAATTGTTCCCGCTGATATTAGGATGTCACTCTAATCTCTACAGGGAAGTTAAGGCTCTGACATAGGCCTCAAACATACTGAAATGCTGTAGCCTACCTGAAACCAGCCCAGCAGACCCATGGACTGGCTGTCCTTATTAATGCCACTTCCATCAATAGTCGCATATGTCCTCATCGCATACCGGTATCAAAAGCTAGGCCTAGGAGTTAAAATTCACTGCTAGAATATCAACTAGACTCACACAGAGCCAAAGTATCTAGAAAAGCTCTTCGGAATTGTGACATTAGTCCACATGGATTTGCATGTTGCGCTTATGTACTTAAGCTAACGGCGAAAAACCAGTTTGACCGCTATAGCTGACAAGTACATGAGGGGCTGGACCACTAGTAACTGCTGGTTAAAAGCTGTTAGAACTGCAGCTCAAAAAGAGATTTTAATTCCTTGGTGTAGAAAATAATTCTGCTATTTGTTTGCAAATAGGTTATTTTTCTTATGTATAGGACCAGTCGGCAGCAACAGTGTATCTTGGTGGTATTGTTCCTTGTGTTTCAGTCGTTGACACTTGCTGTATTGTCACAGATTTATATGTATGCCTGAGAAACTTTACCGTTCTTAAACTATAGAGGGCATGCTCACCTAATCTCTTCCTCTCAGAAAGTCATCTGTAATGCATACCATTCTAATTAATAGCACTGCTATTTCCAAAGGGTTCTGTAGAGATTTACTTGAATTTCATAGTAATTAACCTGTATATCATGTTTAGGAAATTAACTTTTATTTATGGAAGCAAATGATTAAAATGGTATTTAAGTATGGTTAGCCTAGATCAAAGATATCTTTTCTGTCCAAAATGTTAAGAGCATTCGGAAATCATTAAGTTATTAAAGTTCATGATCATGCTTATTAAAGTTGAAACCCCACTTGATTTTGCATTTCTTAGCTTTGATGAACTCTAGAAACACTCAGCTGATTGATTAATAGATCTTTTTAGCTCTACTGCGTCTATATTACTGGACTCCATGAGGCTAATTGATTAATAGATGATTGATTAATAGACCTTTTTAGCTCTACTGCCTTTATTACACTGGCCTCGTCGGAGCTTTCGAGATTACGAGAACTTGTTATATTTTTCTTCTTTATATAAAAATTGCATTTACTTTCTTTAAATATAAAAATATTTAATTTAATTTAGTTTTCAATTTAATCAGATGAAGTTAACATTGTAATTTTTGAGCCATCAATGTATTTTACCTTCTGTTGATTTGTTGTTTTTTCCTTTTCTGCATAGGATTTCAGTTTAGGATCTCTAACTACCATTTAAAAAGAAGGGAAATGAAGCATGAATACAATTGGACCTTAAAAATCAACAAAAAAATAAATCATTTGGAATTCTCTTGAGAAACCAAGCAAAGATGCCCGTTATTTGCTGTTTTCTAAGACTGTAAATAGCAATTACTTTAATCATTAAAACTTTATTTGAATACTGGAAGCTTGTTAAAAAGATACAATATAGAATATTTCCTACAAACAACAAGGCACAGATGCCTTTTACCTGCTGCTTAAGGCTATAAAGCATAAATTATTTGTATTATGTACTATAAACTAAAAATCAAATGAAAAGAAAAGGTTAAAGAAAAGACAATTACATCCTCATTTTAGTGAACATGCACCAAAACAAGCACTTAACTATAGGTTACAAAATGTATTTCATTTTCTAGATATTTAATGCAACGTTTTAAATACACCCGTCAATAATTAAAGTCATTTATTACTTTTCATTGTATAATTAGGTTTCTGAGTCTTTAAAAATAATGCTGAAGATAGTAAACAAATGTTGTGTTATATGTAGGAAATATATAAATATTGCAAATGAGACCAAAGATTAGTTGTTGTAGACTGCTCTAGACATCAAGGGATAAAGCAAAGGAACATTATTTAACTCATACTTCAATGCAAGAATAAAAAAAAAACACTTGTTTTGGAACATGTCCTGTAATACAGAAAAACATATATGCTGCCCTCTTATGTTAGATTCTATATTATTATCAAGGATCTTAAAATAATAAGATAGCGTTCTCCATGATTTCTGCGTGCAAATTCTGTAACAACTCAGTGTAGGGCACCCTCCTACAATTCAAATTACTTTTGAACTTTGACATGTATGATCTGCGTGCAAGTTCTGGAACAACGGGAAAATGTCATGGTAACAATTAGGACGCCCTCTCTCAATTACATTATGCTTCTTTTGCTGAACATTGACGCTTCTATTTGTTACACGTAGAATCGCGGAGAGTGCTATCTTGTTATTATAAGATCTTTGTATTATACAGAGACGCATTATAGTAAAAACTTTTCACATTTTTCAATTTATTATCATTATTTTGAGATTTATCTAAAATTACAATATTAATAACAATAATAATTTTCCTGGTTCTAACACTGTCAATTACATAATTTCCTTAAATTCTCAAGGACATACAGATATTAATATACATCTGTAGGACCTTACTATCAGCTGAAATATTAATAATGTTGAATGACAACGAGAGTCTAGATATCAGTGATGCTTCAAGCTAAATCATAGAATAGATGAATACACACAATGTATGATCAAGGGCGACAGTGGTTTAATATTAAATTGTTTTACAAGCGACTGCAAATTTAATTGATTAAACATGCCATTTTTGTACAACCTCAATTTTTTTTTATACTTATAAATATTGTATAAATGAGGCCATCAATATGTATAAGATCATGAATAATCTTGCACCTACTTATTTATTCAACAAATTTATTATCAGAGATAACTATTACAATATTAGAAGTAAACCAAAATTGTTATTACTAAAACCAAGAACTGACTATAAGAAAAGAAGCTTATCATATAGGGGTGCAAAAATCTGGAATGATATTAGTGAAGACCTAAAAAATGTTACTAATGTCAATTTATTTAAAAAAATGTTTATTGCTACCATATAACCACAATTTGTGTTCATACTTTGTGATATTGTATTTCTGTATATATTAACCTCTGAATTTTAGTTTAGTTTTTATTTCTTTTAGTACCTTTTTGTAATTATTTTTATGTTGATGGGCAAAAGGAATTTTGGGACCTGGATGTTTCATGACGCTATACTGCAGGTGCATCGCAATCTGGACATTTTGTAACCAAGGCATTTCAAATCTCAAAGTGTCCAGGTTGCGAGGTACCAGTAGTGGAGTTGCTGGGGGTCTGGTTTACAGAATGTCGAAATTTCCATATTGAAAAATTTTATCAATTGTATTTTTGGTTTTCTTTAAGTTGTTCAATTAACAAAATGGTATGTTAAATTTTCAATTTGTTTAATTTTTTGCTTCTCCTACATGGACTTGTAGAAGAACTCTAGTTGAAACAAGTTTTTTCGTGTTAAAATAAAGCTTATTATTATTATTATTATTATTATGAATTATTCTTCTTAACAACAGAGGGCTCACTTCAAATATTAAGACAATGAAAAATACTAACTTTTCTCATTCCACATTTTTTAAAACTTCATAAGTGAGCCCTCTACAGTATATAAGGTATAGTTTAAGCATACTCCTGTGTTGGCGATATAAGTACACATACATTAACATGCTTGATTAGCCTTTACAAGAATTATGTTAAGAATTTTGAAACTTACAATTAACTGTGTTTACCCAGCAAATGCAAATATTAACATAATTGCTTAATTTCATATATAAATTTCCTGAATTACTATTCATTACTTCATGAACACTGAAAAAGGAAAACAAAGAAAACAATCTCAGATTTAACGCATTCATGTTATTCCAGATACAATGTCTACTTAATATTCAATTTATTTATAGCAATATCAAAACAATTTGTTTTTAGTAATTTATTCTTATAGAAAAAATTGATTACCAGCCAATCTAAGAGTCTGTAAAAATTCAGGATGCTATTATTTCACTGTTGTCAATTGCACCTTGAGGTTGGTTCAATGGGAGGCGCTATACAAATCGCAAATTATTATCATTATTATAAATTGCTGTGAGTTGTTAATAAAAATATTTTCTAATTTAAATTTTCACTTAAAAAAGCAATGACATTTAAATATATTCATAATCTTGTAATTTGGCCTCTGTAGATCGAGATAACTTGATATAAAATAACTGCTGGCCAATAGTGGAACCATCCTCTTTTATTGGCCATAATTTTTTTAATTATAAGTCTGAACACGAAATTGCTTTTTATTTACTTTACATTTCAAGTTCAGCATCATAAGAAAAAATAAAATTAGCCACTCAAAGAATTTTAACACTCATATACTTTTAATGATTATGATGGTAAAATGTTCTGATATAGTTCGGTATAAATTATTTATGCTACAGAGCCCTCATAAGTATAGTACTGTATAATATTAATGGAGAAAACAAAAATTAATGTGTGAGCTCCCTCTATAGAATATGCACAGTGCTCTGGTTCCCTGCTATCAGTTATCAGTTATTGTTATGGGAAAATATCATTAACAATTTTTGCTTCAGAGCTAGTACTGTAGCCTTTGCATTAAGTGTATCAGTTTTATATCGTGTTATGCACACACTGATATGCAGTCTTTATGACATTTACAGACATAAAGGGTTAGATATATGGCGTCAATGTATTACATCATAATACAGAAGTTAATGAATGGGAACTGTGGGTGGCTCGATTTATGAAATTTCATATAATACACAGAAGCTGTATAGAAAGTGGGTGGAAATCTTTTCAGTTAACAGCATTAAAAGGTTTTATGCATTTTAACTATGAACCAGAAACCTTTGTCTTTTGTATTTTGTATTTAATTTACTGGATAATATTACTTGTATTTCAATTACTGTAAATTCATATATTTCTTTACACCTTTTTAAATGAATTTGAAAGTTGCACTAACCTTTATATACTTTTTAATTTTAATTTATTATTTCTTATAACTTTTATATATACTGAATTTTATATTTATACAGTATAACCATTGTGATTTTTAAATGGATTGCCAGCAACTAATCAATTTTGTTCAATTGTTTTACATGCCCAATAAATTCTCGGTATCTCTATATCTGGTTTATTCTCTTAATCCTGGAGGCTGTCTATGGTTATTTATAACAACTTATATCTTTAAATTAGTTATAAATCTATAATATATTGATAATAATTTAAAAAACAATAATTTCAATATTATCATCATCATCCTTAATTATGGACAATCAACACAATGGATTAGGTATTTAAGAAAATTGGTAAGATAAACCACCTCATAATGCACTTTAAGTGAATATATAGCTATTAGGGAATAAGGCATATTTTTTGGACAGGTAGGCAGCAAGAATAACAATCTTAAAAGCAATGATAAACGGTGGTGATTATGATGATAAAAAATATGTTTTAAAGTAGTAGAAGTATCAATATGTTAAAAATTAACCTCAATCAAACAAGCTTTATGGATACTTAACTCAACAAGAGACAAAAAAATAACTCTTTCACTAGAGAATACTCATTTTTATATAATTTTAATTTTTATATAATATTAAACGTTTACAT